TATATATATATATATATATATATACATACAGACATACATTTTTAAGAACTTTAAAGTCCAACTAAGGTGGATAAAATAAAACATATGCAATCAATAAAAATTAAAAAAAGACAAAAATCAAGTACAAACAGGCTTAGCTAATAAATCATGAAGTGCATGAAAAAATAAATATAAATAGATAAATAATTACAGGCATGCAACCTAACAGCCCTGCAGTAAATCTTTATTTTACTGCTTGATTTTTGTTGACACTCTTATCAGTGTTCATTGTCAAGGTCAAGGTCAAATTTATTTATATAGCACATTTAAAAACAAGCAGAGTTGACCAAAGTGCTTCACAAGCATACAATAAACTAACAATAAACAGAAACACATGGCAAACAAACAAAAAACAATATATGGAGATGTTAAAGATCAGCTCACATTAAAAGCCAAAGAAAAAGGTACGTCTTTAGTAAAGTCTTGAAAGATTCAGCGGTCTGAGCAGTTCTTATCTGCATGGGTAAACTATTCCAAAGGTTAGGAGCAGCCACAGAAAAAACTCGGTCACCTCTATTTTTTAGTCTGGATCTAGAGACACCCAGCAACATCTGACTGGATGACCTCAAAGCTCTGACAGGTGTGTGGATGCGTAACATCTCACATAAGTAAGGAGGTGCCGTGCCGTTTAAAACCTTAAAAACAAGCAATAAAATCTTAAAATCAATCCTGAAGCGGACAGGAAGCCAGTGAAGTGAGATCAAGACTGGAGTGGTGTGCTCATGTTTTCTTGTTTTATTTAAAACAAGAAAATTATTCCACAAAAAAAAGATAATGTTTTGTTATATTTTAAGTTTGTCTAATTGGCTTATACAACATCACCAACCATGCTTTCAAAAGGTTAAATAAACGCCTCACTTGCACAGTGTCAACAAAATCTGAACTCACAAACCTTTACTGTGATGCTGTTAGTGATTTTCCTAACTGACATAGTAAAGCTGTGCAGTGTAGGGGAAATCCTTCTGTTAAGAGTGTGTGGCGTCATCTTGTGGAAAAACCCTGTTAAATCACACAAGGTCTTTACACAGACGTGCCAGCAGAGGGAAACCCAGCCCCACTTATTGCATGTGAGCTGGGGCAAGGTGAACTCCTCACTACATCCTGGTATCTGCTGTCTGGAGTCTTCAACTTGGCTTTTATCCTGTGGGTTTTTCTTATAGCTGCAATGGCACTGACTGTCTGAAAAATCATGGTGTTTGATAAAATAAGAATCCTTCATATGATGTGTCATCACTACAGCTGTATGTGGTTCAAATATTTGCTGATGGTACGAGGAGTAATACACCTCTCACCCAGTGCAGCATCTCTTACAAACAGGCATGTCCTCTGCCGTGGTGACATTTGCAGAACGGAGCCCCATGCCAAGCTTTGGCACGGCAGACGTGCTAAATGAACAGCCTTGCTGATGGGGATGGCAACATTAATTGTACAGCGGGGCTCTGGTCTGAGAACTGGGGCAGGCACCTGCTGCAGAAGTGGGTGAAGATGAAGAATGCTGTCCTAGATTGCCCACCAGCTCACCTTAACCCAACCCGCCAAATTAATCAACTCTTCAGAGGCCATCCGGTTGTCTGGGGCAGGCATCCAGAGGAAGAGGAGCCTGATTTAAGGCACAGGTCACACAGACCTGTAGGAGTCTCTTCAATTTAAGACAAAGGGGGGAACAATACCACTCTGCATCGCTGCAGAGGCACTGGGGTTTAGACTCACCCCCGCAGGATGGAGGGGTAAGATGTAGCTCGTCTTCAGCCATCTGTCTCTTTGTCTCCGCATGTTCTCTCATGAGATGTGTTTTGAATGTGCTGGGGTTGAAACGCTGCTGAGGAGGGTGATGTTTGATGAGGTGCGCTGAGACAGAGGGGGGGTTTAGGAGGCCCATAGGGAGCACAGATGACTAACTCACTACTCCTCCTAATCTAGGACAAGCACACCTAGACATCCTTCATGACTCTAATGTTTTACTCGTGTCGGGCCAAAAATATGTCCGCTGAGGTTAGCCAAAGTGGGTCGCCCAACGGCTTTTTTTGGATCACAGAAAAAGAAATCGTGCCATCTAAATGATCGCTGTCTTCTAAAACCCACCCTGGACGGCAAAGAGCCTTCCCCACCAGTTTATTTTTACAAGTATCAAACTGGGTCAATGACGCCACAGAATATGACAAAACCCCATTTCAACAGTGTTTAAAGGCCTCCAAAGAGACAGAGTAGTGTCCTTTTTCAAAACATTTTATTGGTCTTATAGAAAATAAAGTAAGCTGTATCAACAAACATACAATATATACATCAATAACTTAGACACCTCAGAGAATCACGTTTAAATCCACAGTTGTTACTGTATATATGAATACATAGTACTTATCTACAGATTGCAAAAAGTACAATAATTTAATTTATAAATAGTTACAATTAACTATTGTCTGTTTTCATACAAAGTACTGCAATATTTTATTACAACCCATACAGAAAAATAACAAAAACAGATAATTAACTTTGTATTACTCGCTTTAGTCAGATTTTTATACCTTTGAAACACAGACCCACTCCATAGAGTAAGAGGAAGAAACCTGCACAGTCAACTGTTTTCAAAGCATAATTTCATGGAGGAAAAAAAAAAAAAAAAAAAAAAAGCCAATGTCTTGAGAGCTATTAAATTCAACTGCCACACAAGAGCTGTTATTTATCCTCTCTAACACGTTGCCTGTAAAAACAAAATAAGAAGAAAACAAAAGCCATAACCAATTAAAATAGAAATCTGCAGAACAAATTACAGTGTTAAGATCAATTTCAAATACACACTCGACACGTAATGAGAACAGAAAACGCCGTGGATGATGCTACAGCAAACAACGAGCATTAATGACTGGTGTAGCAGCAGAGGAACCTCAAACGTACAAAAACACACGCACGCGCTCGCACGCACACCGAAGAAAGTAAAATATTGCAAGTGGCCCTTGTGACAGAATCTACTGTAGCATCCATTTCACTCAGTGCACAGACGTTTACAGAATAGCATTATCTTTCAGTCAGATATCCAAGTCCAATGTATGGATCCGGGTGAATCAGCCAATTTGAGACCAGAGTAATTAGTGAGTAAGGCTTGAGTGCAACTGTCCCATGATTCCTTTGAAGCACTGTACACTACTACAGCTTTAGCTACGATAAACAAGGGCCAATTGCTCTTCCTTTGAGGGATTCAAAATCTGAGGGCGAAATAAAAAACACATCTTTACAAAAAAAACCTACAAAACAGCAAGAATTATTAAATAACAGACCATAGTCACTTTGACAATATTGATTACTCTTACATCTACTCTTTCACACCTTTCCACTGAGTTGCATATTAAGGGTCACTTTTTCACAATGGTCATTAATACCTACTGTAGCTACATACTATACACCTGTATGTGTGAGAAAGAGAGTCGTCATCTCTTGGCGGAGATCGAGAGATTGGTCGGCGGTGCCGCTCGAACACCTTGAAAGACACTTGACACGAAAAAAGATTCACTCCACAAGACTGCCACAGCAATAAGGACGCCAACATCAATACTGGGCTATGTCAAGAGTCAGATATATATTTTCCCACAGTTAACCAGTCAATGTAGATAGCTAAGCATGTTGAGGATAGGATACTTGCACACAGACAGTATAACCAGCACCCAGGAGTTTTTGCTGAGGCGTAGCTTTGAGAGTGACCGCAGATTAACACCTCGCCGACACTATAAGACATTCTGACCAGCAGGAGAGTGAGATCCGGATGAAGTGCATTCGGTTAACGTCATTACACAACTACTTTCACCTTGAGGTGTAAAACCGCTCCACTGTTAAATTCCTTTTTTTTTTTTTTTTGTTTTGTTTTAGAGGACCAGGAGAGTGATGTGACGCTTGGCACAGAAGGAGCGGCTGCTGGCAGCAGTTGTTGATTGTAATTCTACATGGTCTTGCTGTGTCTCTTTCTGAGTGTGGATTGAAGCCCTTTATGACATGCTTATTATTATTATAAAAAAAAAAAAAGGAAAACAAAAATTGAACAGAGCTGCCATCCCCTGCTTCTCATCTAGAATGGTTTGTTCATTTTTAGAGTGACCTGTTTTGTCCTGAGCAAAACAAGCAGGAGCTTAGTGCATACAAACCCTCAGCCAAACCCTACCGCTTTTAATCTGACAATCTGAAGTCCAGTGGGGAAATTTACACGAGTGATGCTGCACCATTTGGCCTGTTACCCTTTCAGTTCATTGATGCAATCTTAGTGAGAGTATTGAGGAAGTTTCTCAACATTTGGAGGGGAAAAAAAAAAACAGTATTAAAGGAGCAGTGTGTAAGATTTAGGGGGATCTAGCTGTGAGGATGCAGATTGTAAACAGCTGAAACTTCTCCTGGTTAGAATTCCTTCGGTGTTCATTGTTCATGAGGTTTTTACAGGGACCCGAATTATCAGCGAATGTCTCTTCCTCTCCAAAACAAACGGACCAGAGGATTAAAACAGGTAAAAACACTGAAAAAAAGCACAATAAAAAAAATCAGTGTTTCTCTGATGCTGTTAGGCTTGATGCAAAAGGAACGCTAGCCCAGCACCTGTTAATGTGTCTCTGTCTGATAATTTAAGATACAGATGTTCAGGAGATTTTAACTGGGGGTCAAATTATCCACAGAGGTCTGTTCCTCTCCAGAAAAAACAAATGTGGCGTTTTAAACTGGTAAAAACACTGAGTACACCCAGCTGGCCTCAAACATCATTAGACGATGATATTTGGTTGGATTTTGTAAACCCATCCTAATTTCACTGCTGATATCTGATATGCAATACGCAATATCTCATTTGGCTGATAACCGTTACTGGTATCAATATATCCATATATAATGGAAAATTATGCATCTCTCTTTTCCGAATCCTATGACTGAATATACCTCTTTATCTGTATGCTTGTACCCAGTTTTTTAATTTTACATGTCTTTTCATTTTTGTCGGCCTACTTGTGTAAGACCTGGTTTAAGAGCATGTAGCCTACTTGTGTTTGCATTGTATAGTGCTGTTTTTTTACTGTCTGATTTATATGTATTTATAAAGAACGTTCCCTTTAAAATTTGAAAAGCCCTAAGAAAAATAAGACTTCAGTCTTTTGTTTTCCTTGGTGGTGGTTAAAGAAATTTGTAAAGAAGAGTTTATTTAGTGGAGTTCAAGTTGAATGGGTGTTAATTTGCTTGTTAAGCTGTCAGTAGTGGTAGAGACGGTAGCATGTACTAAATAGTGAGCCGAAAAGAGCTGACTGTAAGCACAGGAGCATGCTGACTGTGGGGCTTTTGCTCAGTGTCTTGGAATGACTGTAAAAAAACTTCTGACAAAGTGCCATGCCGGAAGAATTGTGTGGATGGTTTAGCCCACTAGCATCTAGCTAGCTGCTTTGGCAGCCTCCAACTAGTGTGGACTGTATCTTGCTAACCGTTAGCTAGCTTAGCAGTTGAGTTTACATTGTTTGTTGGATCAAGAGAGGATAACGCCACATCAGAACACAGCACTGCAGGACTCATCCTTTAACATCGTAGTTTTTTTGGCATCAGTCTTCGGATTTTAAAGTGTTTTTTTCTGCGAAGGACCTTGTTAGGCAGCTTCCTCTAGATTAACCTTAGACAGGACAGTGCAGTGTCGTAAGTTACTGAACTCTGAACACAAGGATTCACTCCTCTGAGCTCAACTACTACATAGACTTTCACAGACTGTAACAGTAACACATCTGTGGGCCCAATTGTTTCATTGTTCAGTATGTTTTATTCCTAACAGTTTGTTAATAGACTCAAATGACAAACGTATTGGGTTACTGGTTAATTTATGGTGATTGTGAACATTATCTTCACACTGGGTATCAGCATTTCATACTATATTGTAAGTGCTTTTGCACCAAAAAGTAAGTAAATAATAAATAGTAAATCATAAACATTTAAGACATGTTGTCTTTGGTTAATGGCCCTTTCATTGTAATTTACAAGCACGTGAGATACCTTTTCTGCTTCATTCCTACTTACATACTTGTATATATTTCAGATATGTTGTTTTGCTACCTGTGCTGTATCATTTAACTGTCAGTTAAAAAAATATATAGGTTTGTCATATCGGTAAAAATCTGCATGTTGGACGATTCCAATGTTTCATTTTAAAGCCAATATCGGCCGATAGATAATGTGCTGATATTATTGTGCATCCCTAAATTTCACATAGATTACTGACAACAGATGATGCTAATATTTTGTTGGTATTAAGTTTTGTTAAATCCAAAATCCAGCATCTTCCAAATGTCTCATGCTGATGGCGACTTAACGGAGAATAACATAATAATGTTAACGTCCACACAAAGTGAAATTCTAACGTTAGACATTTAAAATCGTCAACTCGATTTTCATTCCAACCAAAATTTTACATTTGTCTGATAAAAGAGTCCAACGTCTTTCTAACATCACATGACATCTGGTGCCAGCTGGGAAGCAATTTCATGTTAAAAAATGTGTGTTTTTCCAAACAACGTGTCACAGAGGGGCCCCTAACTATGGTGGCCAACGCGAAAGCACGAACAGCCCCAGCTAGAGCCAGTGGTTTGTCTGGTCTGGGCAACTGTAGAAACGTGTTGATGCAACATCTCCCTATTTAGATATGAACAGCTTATTTTAAGGTAACAAAAGCGCAACAATTCTTATTTAAAGTGATTATACACTAAAAAAAAAAAAAACTTTACATATTCATTTTATCCCCCTAAATCCTACACACTGGACGTTTCACTTCACATTTCATTTAGTCTGTCAAATTTGAAGGGTTTTTCATTTCTATTCCTGCAATCTATTTCAAATAAATTCAGTGGCTGGAATGGATACGATGATGAAATCGTCCCAACAATGAAGTCATTTACTACCAGATTACAGAGGATATTTTTAGAGGGCATCCAGCACCAAGTGGAAACATTATTCAGATTCTGCAATGACAGCATCACTTTAAGCTTCAGGTAAAAGTCACTAATGCGATTCCACCCAATTCTGTCTTACATGGCTCAATGTGGTAAACTCTTGATGACAATATGATTTGTAACTAACACCGAGGAAGCGGAGGATATCACAGATGCCAATACGCACAAAGACAATTGACCTTGTTTACACCACCTAGTTTAGCTCTACAGATTTGTTTTAAATAGCACAGCATTGACATCTATACAGTGAACGACACTGCCAACTTGTCACTTACACATCACGTCACGCGCTACCCCACAGTACGCGCCTAGTCACTAGAAAAAAGCTATCAGACTTCAATAGTAAGCCACTTTCGGTACAATTGCAAAAAGATGTCACAGGATTTTTTTTTTTTTTACGTTTTCGTTATCTGTATTTCTATAAACAATGGAAGGTAATCTACCTAGTAATAAAAACCAAGAACTCAACATTAGACAAAGTTTTCTACACCTTAACAATTCAAACAGTAAAGCTTGTGTAAAGATTTTTCTTTTGGAAATATCTGACGGCCCTGTCAACAAGTAATTACAAAAAATGCAATATATATCTTTCAAACAAAACAACTTGAACGTATTTTCTCTATGAGCAAAAATTATGTTTCAAAATGTTTGTGGATTTCACCGTCCCCACAAAACACGAGGATATTACTGTTATAACATTCAGGTATTCAGATATTGTAGAAGAATCTTGTCATATTGGAATGGCACTCAGCTCTGGAACAATATCATTAAGAACTGCTGATCATTTTTAACGTTTCCACTTAACCATAAATATGCAAGACCTCTTTGTATTTTCAGTGCATACATATATTATTGCATCTACCAGTCATATTGATAATGACAAGTTCATTAAAGCCTGTCACAGATAAACAGAAATGAATGCTAGATTTGGGAGCATTATTTCACGCTTATGTTCTTGACAGACGACCAACAAAATCACAAATTTGACTAATTTACTAGTTTTGGGTTAGTCAGGCTGTTATGAAGACATCTGTAGCATCCACACCAAGAGTTTGTGACCATTTGTTATTCATTCAAATTTAAGTCAGTGCATAATAACAGGCAAAGGGCTTCAGGGGCAAGGACTAATATCTAAAACATATTATTTTACTGTTTGTGAGACTCTATAAATGCCAATTTTTAGGACGGAAAGATCTTTAGAGCTCAGCCTCAAGGAAACAAACACATCACACACAGTACCTTACCAAAAATCAACAAGCTATTAACAGTCTGAATTTGATTCAATTTTTGTCCTTTTTCTACCCAGCATTCCCTTCATGAGTATTTGTAACCACAGTCTGCTTTTTAAATAAAACGTTTCAGTATTTTCAATACCTCGTCATTCTTAGACAACCAACTGCCAGACTGCTGAGTCATACTTTAAGAGTGAATTTGGGAAGCATATTTTTAGTGTTAGTGCCAAGGGTTAAAACAGAGAACTTACACAGGTAATCCTGCAGCATGTTACAATGCACTGACTAGTTTAGTCTTGAATATCTTCCTCCCGCCCTTTCTGCTACTACGACCTAGCCTCCGTTTTGGATTTGACGATGGTGATGACGCTGGTGGCAGCTACTTTACCAGGGATGAGGGGCCCTATGACAGAGGCCATGGGTCCCCTGGCTGAGGCAACGGGGTTGCGGGCCACAGTCCTAGCAAAGCTCTGGAGGGCCTCATACTTTGAACGCAGAGCGTCCAGCTCCACCTTCATGCTGGCGTTCTCTGTGGCCAGCTTGTCCACTTCCTGCTGCAGCTGAGCCTTTTGCTTCTCCAGCTCCTCTTTCTGGGTGACACGCTTCACCCGGCAGCTGGCAGCGTAGCCACGGTTTTTCAGGGTACGCCGCCGCTGCTTCAGCTGAAGGATTTCCTCCTTCGTCAGGCCTCGTAGATGCTGGTTCAGCTCTCGCACTGACATGGTCACCAGCTCGTCATCTGTCAGGCTGGTGCCATTTTCCCCTGGCTCCCGCTTCACCTGGGGATGGGGATTAGTAAGTGTTGGTCTTTATATTGGCATTTAACACTGACTTTTTCACAATTTGTAGGGTTGGGTACCATTCACATTTGAACCGATACCAGTTCACCTTGAATTCAGTACCACTACCAAACAGTACTGTTTCTTGGTACTTTCTGTAATAAGCTAAAGTCAACAAGCAATTCAGCTCCTCTTCTCTTTTCTAATCACACATAGAGCTTAATCTCTGTCTATCTGCTTCCTGTGTGTGAGTGTGTGTGCACGTGTGTGTATGTGTCTGCTCGTCTCTCTGTTTAGACACAACTGATAAACATGAGAAATAAGTATGTAAATTGAAAAAACCACAATCACAAACAGAAGTGATACTAGGCTATTTCTAAAATAAAAATAAAAGAAAGCAGGTCAGATAGAATGGAACTATTGGTGCTGCAGGAGTAGGTTTGACTCACTGGGAAGCCGACGGAGCACCCTGGCCGGGTTCCCGTCTTTTGGGCATTTCGCAGCACTACCGGCTCTGTGGAGTTTTGTTGTCTCCCCTGCAAAGCATCCCAAAGCCGGCCAGGGAGTTCCACAGGCAGCTTCCCGCTTTGGGGTGCTTCGCGGTGCTTCGGCGTCCTGTCTGAACCCAGCCCTTTCACCCAGGTGCACTCTTAAGTACTGAAATTTGGCACTGACTGATTTAATGTTAATCAGTACTTGCGAGTAACGATGCAATTTGGTAGGTTCCCTTAAAAGTACAGAGTTCAGCACCCAACCCTTGCAATTTGACAAATAAATCTGTGTCATACATGCTAATTACCTTCAAGGCCTTGTTTCCCTTGTTTGTGGTAGTCATGCCACGAGAGCCGCGTCCACCTGTACTGCTGGTTGGTCTGTGGGTAAGAAAAGTCACCATCAGTACACAGAACAATACCACCAGGAAAAAAACAAGCTCAGAGGAAGAACATTTCTGTGAAATGTTCTGGCAAAGATACTACAGCATGACAAAGTCCTTCAAATACACAAGGCACAAAGTGGGTCAAGGACTTATGACTTCCTTGCAAGTGATGCCAAGTCTGTTCAGCAAGTGGTACCTGGACCATTACTGCACCTGTCACTATGAACAAATACCTTGGCGGTATGCATTTCCCCCTCCAACATAGGTCTCTCACTCCAAGCCTGCGCTGCATTCAAACAGCAGCGTGGCAGGTCACAAGGAGGATGACATTTAGTTGGCTGGCAGCAATTCACAACGATTTCTTGGAAAACAAAGCTCAAGAGTCACTTCTGTTAAGTGCAGCCTCTCAGAGCAGCAACAGCAGAGGATGCGGATGGACTAAAACAAAGCCTTCAGCCTCTCTACTGTACATACAACCTCAGCTAAAATATATCACTGGAGGGACACAGGGCAGACTTTCATCTACTGTATGAGCTATCCAGTCTAGACAGTCACACCTGTCTAGATTTGGCTGGTGTGAGACTATAATCCCATAAATCAATGAAAAGGGGATATGCTGTAACTGCTGCAGAGCCCAGCTACCATCCAGAACAACAGGGCTGCACTGCAGTTTATTCTGTCATGTCAGTACTGAGGAAAGACCAAAGGAAGCTGTGCAGAGGAGAAATCTAACCTACTGGTGTTAAGACAGACAGACAGACAGACAGACAGACAGACAGAAGGCTGGGTGTCTTTCACCGTGTGAGTTCTGCCACAGGATAAGTATGCACACACAAACACGCACACGTGCGCACACACACACACACACACACACACACACACACACACACAGTTGTGGCCCTGGGTGCTTTACACTACACACAGTAAATGCTGTGTCAGCGACACAGGCACCCACCACAGTCAGCCCAGCCAGCACATTGCCTCTGTAAGCTGATTTACACAGCCCAGCAGTGTGTGTTTGTACTGAGCACATAAACAAATGCATGTGGGCTCTTACAACTTTTTAGCATCAAAACAGGAAACAAAAGAATCTCCAAAAAAAAAAAAAAAAAAAAGAAGGAATCCTAAAAAGAACTACTGTCAGTGTGTGCATGTGTTTATAGTCTACACGCCCACTAAGATAGTCATCATGTATATGCATGATGTGTGCAAAGAAGCTCAGTGAGGGAGGGGGTAAAAAAAGAAAAAGAAAGAGATGAGTCGTAGCTCTGAAGTGCACTAAGATGGCCAGGATATTTCCATGGCAACAAAAGGGTGCTACAGGTGGACCGGTCACCTGAGCCAAACAGGCAGAGACAGACGCTTGTTAAAAATGACCTGAATACGACACTATCACACAGGCTGGGGACATAACATGAGGTCAGATTGTGACTCGCATTCTTGATGCCTTCACTTCAAAAAGTCCTCTGGCTCCTCATAAAACGGCAATGTTTCCCCGTGCTGCAGATGCCCATTTAAAAAAAGCCTTTCACGTTCTGCGGAGGACTTTTTAAATGTGATACTTTCATCCCTGTTGGGCTGGCTATGAATAGCTGACTGATAGTAACACCTACCTTTCACCGGCCTTTGTGGTGACTCATTTCCAGTAAGCATTTGGACCACAGATGCAAAACATAATGGGATAATGGTCTGCCTGATGATGCACAGATAATGGACAAATAGACAGGAAAGTACTCCACTAATAGCTACTGAGATGAGAGTAGAAAAAAAAAGCCCTGCTTCTTCCAAATTTCATATAAGCCTATCATTTCCCCCTCAGCCGCCTAGACCCAACATTGTTCAAAAACCAGTTGGAATCTTGAAAATGCAAAGAGATGGCACATTGTCCAGGTTGAAGAGGCGTATTCTGTCACACAGCTGTGTAGGGTGACATAGTAGGCACGGCTTGGCATGGCTGAAAGCTCACCATATGACACTGTGGAATGATTGAGCCCAGGCTGCAACCCTCCAGCACAGGCTGCTGCCAACAGACGGCTACCAATGACAGGGCATGGCAGCACAACACAGACAAGGTCCAATGCACAGCTGCTCCCTTCCACTACCAGGCATGTCATACCTCACAGAGACAAAGAGGCATGCTCACACAAACACAGAGGGATGAAAAGAAAGGAAAAACACACCTATATTGTTAAAGATATGTGAGGAAAATTTCAGATTTGCTGCGCTAATTTAATCGCAACAGAATGCCCTTGCATTTTGATAGGTTCACCCTTTCAAGAGTCACGATGGAAGACACTAGGCACCAATGTCTTCCTCGCACACATGTATTACCTCCTAGTAATGATTTCAGGTCTTTTGTGTGAGCAGGAGACAAATGCGGCAGCTTGGAGCACAGGGGCAGCAGAGGTAGGGAGCAAGCGCAGGGACACAGACGTCTTTTGTAGGTGCTTGCTGAATTTTTATGAATCGCCTGGAAGAACGCTGACAAATCAGAGCTGATTGCTTGTGGAGGAGAGACATCACACCCACAGGAAATAGAAATCGCTGAGTGTGGTCACCCGGAGAAAGAGAAGGAGGGGATAGTGAGGGAGACGGACAGAGAAAGAGAGAGGGAAAGAGAGGGTGAGAAGAAAGAAACAGAGAGAGAGTGAGCGCAAAGAGCCTTGTGAAAAATGCACGATCGACACATTTAGAGGAGCTTGAGAAGAACAGGTTGAGAAAAAAAAAATACTGATCTCAGCAAGGACCAAAACCAAGGTGCCAATTAGGAAGTTGTGAAGTTGAACTAACACGACGAGAGCAACCCAGCCAACCTTCAAAAGCTGTCTGTGTTCATCTAAATCTATAGAGTGCAGCTCGTGAAGGTGGGTTCGGCTTAGGTTGAGACTCAAGGGGGGGGGGACTGGTGGGATAAATGCTGATGTGACATGATAGGTCCGGCCTTGAGCCCGTGTCATGCTTTAATGATCTCATCCCCTCCACAGGATCTCTCCAGGGGGGCTGCCAAGGATGGACACCATTAGCTGGGGGACCCTTTGTTGAGGGGGAACCGAGGCTACAGCATCCACGCACTGCGTCCCCTGATGAATATTTATCACTGTCGTTCACCGCCTAAGGTGGGGGTGGGAGACAGGGGCGGGGGTGGGAGGCTGAATAAAGATGCTCAGGAGGTGATTCTTCAAGGATACATCCAAGGCTCTTCCATCAACGGCTGTCTCAAAATGGCGGTAGGCTGGTGGGGGCGGCGAGGGGGGAGGAAGGGGGGGTGGATTTCTGGTACTGGAGGTGGCATGCATGGTGGTTCAGGGCTGCAGGGAGAGCCAGCTCCACTTGACAGCGGTGTAACAAGATTATCAGGGCCATAAGAGCAAACAAAAACCCCAGCAACCTGCCTCAGAATCCAGATTACAACAGCGCCTGCTCTCTGAATACTAAACATGGCTAGGGAGGACTAACGGGGCGCGGGCTTTACTGAGACATGACAGTGGGTTGCATATCACGTTAACTAATCGCATGCACATGTATCCACGCACCAACAGATTACCAAAACCACACAAGCACATATACATTTAACTTGTCATGATCACTTCTTGGAAAGAAGCGTCCTAGCACTTCGCACTGGCAGCTTGCTAATGAAGTGAATAAAACTAGACAGTGGAGGTGCATGCTGATGAAAGACTGTTTTCAGGAAAGCACAGGCAGCATCCAACAATGGCAACTCAGTTCTGTGAAACTAACAGCTGAATATCATCTCACACCAAACAATGCATTTCACTCCAAAAGAGCAGACGCACAATGTGGCTCATTTTGCTCATATTCCTAGTTTAAATTTCGTTCCTTTGCTGTTCCTCATCCAGACTTGTAAAGGTTTGTACAGCTTGAAGAAGACAGTTAGGAGCTGTGGCCCAAATTTAACATAGGCCTTGAATGATACATTGGTTCAGCACCATTTTCGATTGCCTTCGCTAAGCCTGCACATATTAAACGATTAACACAACACAAAAGAAGTGAGCTGAATGTGAAATCAGTATGATCACCTATTCAGTTTCCCTGATCAATAATGTATGAGACTTGTAGCCTCTCGCTCCATTATCATGGACTTTCCACAGGAAATAGAATGATGATAACCACAAAGATACTGAAAAGCACATGATGAGATAAGCGTGACAGAAAAAAAAAATGTCAGCATTTTCTTGTTATTGTTTAGCTCGTTAATTTACACTGTGCTTGTTTGTTATCGAGATGCTGAAAGCAGAGAGCCAAAAGTTTCACCCTGTTTGCCATAAATAGCCATTCTCACCACTTCTTGCCTGATCAGAGGAGCCACTACTTTTACTCCCTCCCTTCTAATTTGGAGTCGAAAAAGATCGTCTAGATATTCAGATCTAATCATTCCTCCCTTCAGCTGAGTGAAGTCAATTATCAAGCAGGCTGCATGTGTTGGGCGCCATTTAACCGCAAATTAAAAATCAGACTCCTCTGATAGCTCTGGAAGAGTTACTGGAAGACTGGTGTAAACTTGTGTGTGGGGAAAACACAGTGTGCGAGTGTGTCTGTGTGAGAGAAAGGTACGACGGGAAGAGGGGAGGGAAGCTATTAACTACTAAGTATTCAGAGCGTGAAATAAGAGTGACAAAAAGAAGGAGAGGGGAAATCATTCAGCAGCTTTCAGAGGGAAATGTGATATGCTTGTAGTAGAGGGGAAATACTAAGCCTATACTGTTGACCAGTGGAAGTTCGGGGCAACGCTAAAATAGCAGCTAACCAAAATCTTATGCCTGCTTTTTGGAGGGACTGTGTGACCATCATGAAGGGTTAAATGATTGCTCAAACATTCTACCCTCTACTGATATTGCTCTTACCTGCAAATTAAGTCATGTTAAATGAATAGATAGACAAGGACTACGATATTAAATCAAAACACACTATGATCAACAGATTAGCGACGAAATAAACGCATTGTAAAACAACAGGATTTAGTGAGAAGAAGAAGGAGTGCCCTTTTCCCCTCGTACTGTCGGTGAAGACCTGAAAAAGCCTTTCAGGATTAAAGCCAAATGTTGTAGGGTTTATAGTAGGGATGTGCACGATTAGTTGACTACTCAATTTAACATTGCTACCCTGGCTAGTCAGCACCAGAAATAGGCCTACTAGTTGGTTAAACCTAAACTTATCGATATTTTATTAATGTACACATTTAAATTACATAGTGACATACTGTGTGTGGAAATGTCATGTCATCCTGGTTAAATGCTTTGTAAAAAATGAGCATCTATTAATGTTAAAGCCAGATTTAGAAAACAAAAACAACAGAGGTATGAGGCAAAAGTTGGACAAAGCTCAAATCTCGTAATTCCAATGTGGTTCAGCAGTGTTTTGATTTTATTCAGTGAGTTGTTGTCATGTTTTGTAGGTTAATGTGCACTGTTAATAATGCACCGTGCTGAGAACATATTTCAGCAGCATTTCAAATTTTATTTGGTTGTTAAAAATGTGATGAACGATTTTAAATGGCAATATTAAGCCGTATGCAATATTTTTTAAAACAATGTTTAAATTTAAAGATTAAATTGGGCCCAATTTTGACTGTTTTCTAAGTGCTTTCCTACTTTTAGACTAGTCTAAGCTTAACCTTCTGTTCAGCATCAGAGAAATGAGTCATTAGGAAGATCTCTAGCTAGTAATTATCTAAAAGTGTGGTAATTCTCTCATTTGTTCCTGTCAAAATATTTTGTTTAATTTCCAAAATATGTGTCACCATTTGACATCGATCACAAAGTATAAAGAAATTCTGGTTGTAAGATGGAGACAAACAGTAGATGGTGAAAGCAGAAAAAGTTAAATGTCTGTAGATATTTTGTAACATTCATTTGGCACATTATATGCCATGTGCTAAAAAAAACCCACATTTGATAACTGATTATTTGTCACAAGGTGAAAATAGACACCATAACATAATGTACCATAATGAACGCTGGCACTGAAAGTGTCCCATATGGGAGCTAGTTTGTTATACCATGCAGAAGAGCATGTGGTACATTTATGTCTGGAATTTGCATCCAGTTCATGTGGTTTAAAGTGAAAACATGAATCACCTCACTCAAGGGATTTCGTATTTCTGAAGTCAATGATAATGTGAGGCTTATTTAAAGGGATTCGGGTTAGACTGGTTTGCATTAACCAATGTTTCGATACATACAAAATATATTTCCGAGCTCAGTAGCTGCTGTTTACTCTCTGTGCTGCTCTGTTAGTACAAGCGGTATGACAGGAGAAGAGACTCCATTGGCCTTCCACAGTATCTGCCTGGAGGACTTGATTAAACAGGAAGAGAATAGCTCTTGATACTTCGGCCTTGCACTGGCAGAGGAAGTAAGGGTTGCAGGCAACCCACACACTGGCAAAATATCCAGGAGCTTTACTACACTGGTTGCATACATATTAAATGCATATTGCTCTGACCTGGCAGCAACAAGGCAGCCTTTATAGCACAAAAGGTTAAAATAAAGCAGTTCGACACATTTTAAATGCTATTTAAAGTAAAATAAAACTGAAATATTTCAGGTCCTTCACTGGTACAACTGCACAGCTATGATTTGAGGTGGATTCTCTTCAATTAAAACACAACTCTGTGATAAGGCCATCAAACAAACAGAGCACAGCAGCATCACTGACAAACAAAAAAAGAGAAAGAAAACAAATTTATCATCTTATTTTTCCCGGGGAGTGCTTTGATTCAAATGCAGTCGGCTAGCCAGAGTTATTACCTGGAAGTAACAAAGATGCTAATTTCTATTAATAACATTGCCACCACTCAGTTCAAATTATGGCAAGTGATTGATGATGTCTGCCCACAGGATATTTGATGGAGCCTCACGCTTGATGTGGTTGTCCAAAAAAAATAAATTAAAAAAATTACAATTACGTCACTCCAGAATGCAGTCTGAATATGTGATCACACGATCAGTACCAGGAATTTTAACTCAGGTTGTCAATGTAACCCTCCTTTCAGTTCCTCACATATTTCCCTCACAAGCTTCGAGTGCTGGAACAAATTAAAAAATCAATTACAAATCAAAGACAGTGGAAAAGGGAAAAAGATGGTTCAATAGTCTGAAGGTTAAAAACATCATTTTGTAAGAGTAAGGTCGCAAGGTTGATCCCAAAAGCACCCACTGTGTCCATCCACAGATGAGTTGCAATATTATTAAAAGGAAAATGAACCACAACCTGCTCTGTAAATATTGAGTAAACTATTAAATAAAGAATCCAACTCTGTATTCAGCAATACAGATTGTCCAAGGACAGTTTTATTGATTTTATTTTTGTCCCTTTGCTTTTGTATTTGTTTTAAGTTCTGAATAATAAACACCTCACATTCATAAATTTAGATTATTGTCAAATGGTCTTCTGGTGCCAGTAAAGGGGTATTGGCTAGACAGAGCAAGTAATAAAAAGATATGAATGCTGGATCCTGTTGCATGTGGGGCATAATTTAATCAGGTACAAACAGCAGGCATTTATTTGGGAAACCCACAGTTATTTACAAAGAATCTGTTAATTTAATCAAGAACTAATAAAAACAGCACTAACTGTAGTCTAATGATCTGCCTGAGCTCCTTTCTAATGTGGGTTATACACTGCTTATCTTAGAACAAGGTCTCGCTATCTTTAACCTCCTTAGAAAATTTTATACATATCCAGCTGAGAACATATCAGAACATAGCTTCCTCAAAAATGCACTGACACTGACTGTTTCTTCCCTGCCTCATTCACTAGTATCATTTTAACTTGGCCTATTACACAAATATGGGTACGGTTAAATCACTTGTTTTTAATGTCAGTACACCACTGATACGTCTCAAACATTAATCAGCCAAGATAAAAGTAGGTTACATGAAAAACACCAGCCAGTGCACGGCTCCACGCTTATGCTCTCCATGTTCTGTCCGATATTGGCTAATCTAAATTATGAACACACAGAGAGCAGTAATGAACATGCCAAGTCGAACTCAAGTTCCAAACAGAAATTCATCAAACACACTTGCTACTCTGTCTGGATGAAAGTATTACTTTGAGAAGTGGAGCGGGCATATCGCAACGCTAAGCAATCATAATCCGCACTACACTTGCAAGAGGTTTCATCACCAGCATTCCCTCCCTATTGCAAAAAAAGGGGGAAAAAAACTATATTGATCTTTTTCTCCCTTCCTTCCAGGCATTCCCATTTCCCCGTGCAGCTTAAGCAGCACTTTTGTGGACAAATCCCACATTTGTGTTCCTTTCTGGAGGCTATTAATTGTCCTGAATAGGCGTAACTATTCCCAAGGCACAGCTGTGTTGGCCATACAGAGGTGTTGGTGGCCAGAGTGTACTCTATTCTGTGCAAAGTCTTGCCTCGTGTTTCATCAACCTCAAATATCCTCTTCCACCCTCCGCCGCCTGCCCAGTCTGAGCAACGCCACTGGGTATGAGTTGTGCACTCGGTTCACCTCTGTGGTATCCAGCCTTATTTTATCGTCGCTACCTCAATACAAGAGGCGATAAATCTCAGAGCTGATCTCCACCACTCCCTGCCTCCATCCGCACACTATTGCCAGCCCCATCGGGCTCTTATATGGGCCCTCATCTGTTCTTGTTACCTGCAGAGAAAGGCAGAGATGGGCATTACGCTTTATTGCGAAGCCGAGCTTCTGATGTAGGGCTGGCCTGTCTGCTAAACACACTTCAATGCCCTGCTCGCATGAACAGAGATGATGAAATAAGTTGGATATCTGAGCAAGAATGGGCAACTTCTATCTGTTTAGCCGTGCCTATATATGCTCAACAGTTTCCAAGGTGACTTTTCAAATTGCACAGAGATTCTCCATGGATAATTCATTACCTGCCCTCCATAAGCGTGCACTCTAATAGGCAGCAAATTTCATCATGTCACACACAGGGAAACAAGAGCATCTGCCAGCCCAAAATAAAAGAAATTGAGCGTTATACCGCATTAAATAATATCACAAGCAAGCTGGTACTCCATAGCATACTATTCAATAACAAAAATATAAAGCTACACAGCATGCCACACACACACACACACACACACACACCAAAATATTTTTGCCCACACAGACATTTTTATCTCAAATTCTACCTGCATTAGGTGTTGTTTTTAACTTCCCATATATCCCATAATTACACATGACCCAATTTAAACAGCCACTCATTGCAGGACTCCATTATAACAACACAGGCATAAGATATTGCTTATCATGCATTTTTTAAATGGATTTGACATCGCAGTTGACATCTAAGCACTTAGTCTAAATGTACTCACACCCTGGTTTGTTGATGTAGCATGACAGCACTGCAATAAAATGCACATTCTCAGCTGAATGTAGATGAGGCTATTGATAAATGCATGATGGTCATCACTTGATGCTCATGGCTTGATGACTGACTTGCACGACAGATCAGCACCATTTCGATCCATCTCCTTATTAACGGCGGCGTGGTGATAAACATCGACCCTTATCCACCGAGCAGACCTTTGTCCGGTGGTGCCATATTTCGGGGTGGATTCTGAGGAACGTCTAAATACATCATTGTGATGATTCAGCACGATATAAAAAAAATACCGCTGATTGTTTGTTGGGTATGATAATAAAACAAATAACTGCCTGGCTGTGATATTAAAGCCAAGGACGGCGGGTTTGATTTGGCACTGCCATTGTTACAGTTTAACCACCGGTTAAATGAATTGTCACTTCAGGTGAACCAATTCAATCCGAAGCGATGCTTTGCATTCCCTTAAAGATTAAATCCATGCATGCATTTTTAATATAAAAAAAAAGCTGCACAAAAGCACAACACACTGCCCAGATTCCAAAATCACATTCATGTTTGACAGAAATGTCATGAGGGGAAAATATTGGAAACCAACCTGATCTCGCTAAACCGCTGCCTCGGCTCGCTCTTGCTCCTCTCCACAACGAGGTGATGAAGCAGCAGGTTTAAACAGCAAGAAGCGCATGAGTTGATAAACCAGCAAGAAGCGCTGTGATGTGATACAGAGGCACACGCGACGCCTTGGCAAACTGTTTCTCACAAAAGCAGCCTAGTTACACAGTTTTGACATTCCTCGACTCTTGTCTCCAACCTCTCAGCGCCCTGCTTGTGAAAGTGGCAAACAACTCCCCGCCTACAAAACAAGCAGGCGAGGAAATCCCCGTGCTCAGTCTTTCCTACTATAACTGAAGCAACACGGCACCACACGCCATTCCTCCACCGGGGATATCACCATTTAGGCGCCAAACAGCTGGCCTGTACGCTACATCAAACCCCAAATCTGAATGACATGTTTTATTTGCGGCTCATGAGTGTGTACAAAAGCTTAGCTGCCATCTCAGCATAGTAGGAACCTGACCGTTGTCAGCTCCCAACGGGTACACGAGCATTTCCGGTATGCGCTTTCAAAATAAAACCAAACACTTCAAAGAAGGTGCGTTTAACACCAGGAGTGATGCGGATACTCTTAGTTTGAAAACACATCCTGGTATAAACTGAGCCGACTTGACAAAGATAGATGTAAGAAGCTAGGTATGCTAGCCCATGAAGCTAGCCGCGGCCAGCTTGTCAGCGGCGAGGCGAAGGCATGCACACTCAGCATAACAACACCGACTCTGTTTGGGTTTACAGACCTACCTGGCTTGAAAATGACGCCCTCTGAAGTCGGTGCCGTCAAGGTCCTCTTTCTACACCGACAAGACGGTGACCGGACATGAGAGGCACGGTTAAATGTCGGTTTAACTGACAGAAGCGACAGCGCTTCCAAATGCCAGCTCGTGCTCTCCTTGTTGATTCCTTTCTCTTGTATCGAAGCCAGACGTCATCGTGTTTGGTCACGTGCCTTCATTCATGAAGGATCTTCTTTCCTCACAAGGAGAAAACATTTTAACCAAATATATACCACCTATTGTTAAACCGTGGCTGCTGAGAACTGCTAGGTGGCTGGGAAACAGCAGTGAATCTAACACCTGCCAATTCACAGAATAAACAACACTCAAACAATTTTTTTTTTTTTAATAATAATAACACAAGGTTTTGATAACATCCTCAGTTTCCTTGCATCAGAAAATATTGCATTCAGCTCATTTTGTTTGAGAACACTTTAAAGTACAATTTTTAAAATGATGTTGAGATTACACAAATACAACTACAAACATAACTGTAACACCATTTAAAAACGTACAGCAGAGCTCACTGCTTCACCGCATACCACTGAATTGCATTGTTATTTAGTCAACCTAACTTCCCCAATCAGAAAGACTGACTGCAATAAGATTTATAACTCTGTATCAAACACAGGTATTGGCATTATTACTCTAGTCTTATCTAGCCTGAGAAAGTAAAGGCATTTCATTACAAGAAGAAATATGGCTCGTGCCGTTTTTACAGCATCATCCAACATTTAGCTTATTTTAAAATCTAGGAATAAATCCACTTTTGTTCTAAAAATCACCTGCCAGTAGTGGTTTATTCACAGCATATCCTGCCTCCTCACTGATGTGACATACCATAAAACTTCAATTAAATGCCCAGTCCCTTTTACTGGCCTGGACAAATAAAGGCCACCTCAAATTATGTGTCCATTCCTCGATTACCCTGCAAGTTATTCATATTCCTCTAGTCCATAAGGGTCCTCAGATCATAAGAATCTGAAGTGTTTTTCTTAAAAAATTAAGCCAAGTTACCAGTATTGTTTTAACAGGATAAAGTGGTGTTGTGTCGGTTGCCGTAATCCTCGAGTGCTGTCACTCTCTCTCTGTCTGATGTGCTGTCTATCAGAGCTGTTTTAAAAAAAATGATTCATAATTGATATATTGTCTGAAGCCTAATTTTTAAACAAGTAATATTCATACTGGTTTATATAAACAATTTTATTGTATTTCCCAATTTTTGCAGAGCAACCGTTTTGTCTGAAAGGAATTAACGCCTGTCCCATATATAGGCCTGTTGATTTCAGTGATTTAAGCCAATAATAAATAAGCAGGCTATTAACTGAAGTTTTACGGTATATTAAAATGTGCTGTTTCAAAGCCTGACAAAAAAAAAAAGATCACTTCTTCTTGGTCCTCTGGTTGCTGTTACTGAACAAACTGATCCCATGAGATCTGACTCCGACTGCCTCTGGAGTCACTCCTGGCTGCTGCAGCACTTTGTCCAGAGTTGTCTTCTTTATGGCAGCTGGGGAGATTTTCTCTTGGTCGGCCAAAAACTGAAGCTCCCTTTTTAGAGAAGGGGCGGGAACACAGAGGCATTTACAACATAGTATGCAACATACATATTCAGCACAGCACAGTATCTGGGTATAATATCAATCCTATCACTAGGTAACTTACAACCAGAGGACAAACTCTCATTGTAACATTATTTGCATATAGCTCCATCTACTGTCTGAAATATAAACTTGTAAAGAAATATATCACCCTTTGGCCATTTAAATAGAACAATTAACTTAAAAGCATTTCTTGTGTGACCCTGTGACAGGAAATATGATTTGTTAGTTTGTTTGTCTGACACTTTTGTTGTCAACCTACCTGGTCCTAACGCAAGAGGCCTCTACAGCATTGATGAGGAGGCTGCGGAAGCCCCCGCTCTCCATGACGTGCAGGGCGTGGATAGTGGCGCCCCCTGGTGAACACACATTGTCCTTGAGCTGGCCAGGGTGCTGCTCTGAATCTAGCAGCATTCGAGCAGCCCCCTTGAAAGAAACACACAGGGAGATGCACGTTAGACAAACACAGTATTGATTATGTCACGTTGAACCTGTATTTTTTAAAAAGATGCTGTACATTCAGACTGTGTAGAGAAAAATCAAGACAGACTGCAGCCAACAACAGGCACAACTGTATCTGGATTTATAGATTTTACAGGGAAAATGCAAATTTAAATGTTTATTAGAACAAATGAAGAATGTTATGGCCATAGCTAAGGCAAATAAGGCTTGTATAACATAAATTTGTTTAAATATAACAGGTAATACCAGCAGAGCTTGGGCTCCAAGGCGTACAGCCAATCTCCTGGGCAGGCCCATTTTAACTCCACCATCAGCAAGAGCATCTACAGCTGTGAACGCCTGCAAAACCACAATCATAATTGTTAACATAATGAAACAAGGGAGAACAACCACATGACTGATTTATCACAATTGCTACAGGTAATGCAACATTTTAAAACATGCTGGACATGATATAAATGACTCACGTAAGCAGGACCACTGCCGCTGAGGCCTGTGACAGCATCAATCAGGTCCTCTTCCACCTCAGTGCAGTATCCCACACTGGCCATCAGCTGCTCCAGAAGCTTTCCATCCTCCACTTGTGCATGGGTGCCCGTGGCGTACACAGTTGCCCCCTCCCGCACCACCACTGGAGTATTTGTCATTGCACGCATTACCTTTGGATCAGGACGATACTGCTGCAGCTTCTGTAACAGATAGCAATGTAGTTAATTTACAGTTACTCAGTCCACAAGTCTAGAATAGTTGACATTTCATTTGCTTTGAGATAAGATATCTTAGGCTGCATTAAATGGACAAGGGTGTCTCAAGTTCAGGCAGCTAACCAATGTCATGTTACAACATGTGACGGTTGTGCCCGAGGGTTTGCAATGTGTGAGCCCAGAAATACAGTGAGAACCTCAAGTTAAAATAAACAGTGAAGCCAGTATTTCACAAGCATTAGCCAACATCTGGATAAAAACATGATTAATACCATGTCATACAAAATTACATATCATCTGGGATAGATAGACAGATAGATAGATAGATAGATAGATAGATAGACAGATAGATAGATAGATAGATAGATAATAGTCCCAAGGGAAACTGAGGCACCCAGTGGCTTTTTACACAATGCATACAAAAACACAGATACACAAAGGGACAGAGAATATATGCAGAAAAATTAAACAAAAGAATAAAAAATACACAGCAGTGAAATGATAGTCTAGTACTAGAGCTACCACAGAGAGCTGTTACTACAGTACATAACAGCAAATTGAAGATAAATACGCGCACAGATACCAATTCAAATACAGATTGTGCATAAGGCTAACATAGCCAGTGATTTGCGGTACACTTCGCTTTTTTAAAAAATGTGATAATCACAAAATTATTTTTCTGGCCTTACAGGCAGCTTTAAAGCAAAACTGACTTTCATTTAGGTTAAACACTGTACATGCAGTAACGCCAATACTCCCAGATTATGTATTATGACTTAGTATTAAGTGAAAAATGTGTATTTGATTTTGTCATATTGACCAGGTGTGCTATTATCAACCTGTGTTCAGTTAGTAACATGGGAATACAGATAACTATGACTTGCCTTCTCTATAGAGCTGATGGTGACACCCGCAGCACAGGACACAATAAGGTGACGATCTTCGATGTCTGGTCCAACCTCATCCAGTACAAAAGGGATGATGTGTGGCTTCACAGCCAAAAAGAGAACATCACTTTTGCTCACTGTCTCTTTGTTGCTGGTGGTGAAATTGACACCCAGTTTCTGTACAAGAGGCACAAAAGACATCTTTTAGTACTTTGGTGGACAGAGGTAAGCTTATACTATAAATAGGAACTCATAACATGCAAGCAAAGTATTTCTTTATCCCTTGAAAACCCCACAAACATATTCAGAATTTAACAGAATCACCGGTGGAGTGCAATATTGATCCCCATTTGTCTACCCACCCGCAGTCCCTGCACTGTGGGGAGATCTGTGTCTGGGGAACTGGCTGTGATTCTGTGGGTGGCAATCACGCCTTGAAGGGGACAAAATGTCCAGAAGTCATTTCAGTGTCTGATTGCAATCAACATACATCAACAACACAAGTCAGATTTGAATAATAGTCCTAAAAACATTTGAAAGTGTGATTCAAAACTCACCTGCAGCTGTGAAGCCTCTCACCAGAGCGTGGGCCAGCTGGCCTGCTCCTATGAAACCCACACTCATCCTACCTGTGTGTGTGTGTGTGTGTGTGTGTGTGTGTGTGTGTGTGTGGGGACAGAGTTGAAAACTTTAACAGTGATTAATCCATTTCATTTCAACACAAACTAATCATTTTCTACGTTTAACAACTCATGTGCAGCGTGTAGCCTCTTTACATCTCTGGGTATGTTGTCCTTTAAGTTAGTTAGTAGTAAACAAACTCTTACTTCCTTATGAAGCAAAGTGAACGACATTCGTTAACACACAGTGGGGGCAGCCATGTTGTTGTACAGTAAACACATTCGTTCAGAAAACACTTACGGATAAACTGAAGAGCTCCTAAGTTGACCGACTGACCGACCGAAACAGCAACCGCCTAACCGAAACACCTGAAATTACGACATGTCAACGTGGCCAGAGCGGCTGTCTAGCGTTCTACTGTACCTGCGGAGATACACTTAACTGACGAGCGACAGAGCCAATCAGCGTACAAGTTTGGTCAATACGTCACAAGTTCGACCAATCACAGTAGTGCTAGCATAACTTTGGGGCGGGGTCTTTAAAGCCGGAAAGCCAGTTGCATCAGGTTGTGCTCTGGGGGAGAAAAGTTGTTGGTGGAGGCTATTTACTGGGAAGGGAGACACACAAATTAGCTTAACCCAGAAAGACAATCTGTAGCCCAATTACCAGCCTGGAGTAAGTAATACATTTTGGGTATTTATCTTGAGTAACTGCGCAGCTACATGTCATAGCCTTTTCGTTTATGTTGTGCATTTATGCCATAACAACATAATTAATTTACTGTAAAATTTAAAAAATATTTGGACATGAGTTTAGCATATGCAGAATGATGATGCACAAACCAACACACTGTTGGTGGAGTAGCTAACTGTGTTGTAATTAGAACAAAAATGAAAATTAGTTAGTGGCAGTTTATTTCAAACATGTAAGTAGCAAATAAACAAAATAGTCATACATTTTCTAAAGGAAGCTTCAAAACTGTAAACAACATACTGATTTGATTAGATGTCCAAAAGGAGTGGGAGGAAGTACAAACTTATTTATTCCCACCCCTTCTCCATGTATTAATAATAGTCAATTATGTAGCTCCCCATCATTAGAAAGCTGTACAATAATTCATTCTCCTAGACCTATGATCATATATTAAATTAATCACCAATAATATTTGGCTTATAGCATGATATGAATAATTACAAAAATATAAACACACACACACACACACCTATATATAATCTCATCTTTATATGCTTATCCAACCATGACAGATATCTTTTGCTTTGTCAAACTATATGTATACACATGTACATGCACCCAAACTTTGCACATATACACAAAATTTATATTTATTATATAAATTATTAATATTACAAAGACAAATAAAACTTCAGGTAGCCTACTAGAATACATAATATGATTAATTGCTTTTTCGGTCCACTAGATACATTTTACTGAAGAAAAAAAAAAAGTTTTCTTTAGGGGACATAATTCATAATTGACAAAAGGTAATAAATTTCAGTATATCACAATATATTTTATCCAAACAATCAGCATGTTGCAACATATTTAAATCGCAATAATATTGTATCATGATAATATCCTATTGTGGATCCTCTGGTGATTCCCACACCCTATTGACTACAAGTAGCTTAGAAAATGTACATAATATTTGGAGGCAGGATGCTCATGCGGGTTTCTTGCTCCGAAGGTCTAACTTTTCATTTTTTTTAAAGGAAAAAAATATTTTTTTTATTAGAAACCAATTGAATGACCCTCCAAACTGATCCCCCATCATGATATTTATATCAAAGCTTGTTATGTATATCTTAACATGAAACATGGATCACAATTATCCATTGATCAAAAAAAAAGCAATCAGTTTCCCCCTGAAATGGTTGTTGTGGAATAAATCTTAAAAATGCAAGAATCCAAATTAATTGTCACAATTCACCAGAGCAAAGCCATTAAATGCATGTGTTGATAGTAGATTTAGTGCCATCTGTTGGTTAGGAGAGGGGTTAGGGGAGGGAGATCTTTGCCCATCTTACCCTGCACTTTAAGAGGCAGAGTAGGACCATCCAGCACAACTTCAACTTTTTTCAAGATGCATGGAGAATTGAAGACAGTCTTAAGAGGTAAAACTCCCATTACACTTGTAGCATTAGCTATAGAACAACTTTATCATTAGACAGACATATTTCAGCTTATGGCCTTCATCAGGGTCATCGGGGTGGGTTTGAAGCAGAGATTGTTTTAAAGCAATGCACTTGACACTGATAAGTTAGTGGCTAAAGATTTCACCAGTTTGGTTTGGCGGCTCAGGAATCCAACAAACATGCTTTTCAGGAAACTGTTTTCTGACACTGTCGAGATAACATGTAATTTAATAGATTTATAAATGACTCTGGTGCACTATCAAATATTAAAATGTTAATTTGATTTAATCAGGCCATGAATCAAATGCACTTTAGCAATCAACATAACTGTACCAATTTCAATTTTGATTTGAACCCTAGCCAATAAACAAACCAGATTTATGATGTCAAAGTGTGTAATAGAGGAGTCTTCGGTCTTCTGAAAGTGGAGAGTAAAAGTTCACATATCAATTAAGACCTAACATTACTTCATACAAAGTAAAGGGTACAGGATACTATCAAATATTGAAATGTTTATTTGATTTAATCAGGCTATGAATCAAATGTACTTTAACAATCAACATAACTGTAGATCAATTTCAATTTTGATTTGATCCTTAGCCAATAAACAAATGATTTATTTCAATGTGTGATAGAGCAGTCTTCTGTCTTCTGAAAGTGGCAAGTTAAAGGTTCACATATCAATTAAGACCTCACGTTAGTTCATGCAGTAAAGGGTAAAAATATTTTTAAAAAAAAGACAGACAAAACATCCTGTTCGATATTTTATTGAACATGGAACATATCAGAAATATAGCAAAAGGAGAGTTATTACACTACATGATTGTGTTTATCCCAAGTAAAGTGAAAAATTAATACTTTTGTCAAAATTTCGCCTTCAAAAATGAATGTATCAGATACATTTAACATTCAATGGATGTCAGAAAAGCCTAATGAACTTCAACTTTTTGCACATATGAGGACAAAATGTGGAAAAAATGCAACAAAATGGTTAAACTGAAACCAAAAGCTATGTTCAGTGCAAACTGTAAACCTAACATTAGCTATTCATCTCTATGAGCTGTATGTTTACATACATTTTAATACATATATTAATACATAAATAAATTGTTCAGCCACTGTAATCTGACTGACATAACACTGCTCTGATGTTCTAAACATTATCCCACACTCCCATAGGTACATCCTGTGTGCAAACACCAAAGGAACCAGACGCAGAGGGATGTGTTAGGTGCTGAGATGGACATACTTCCCAGGGTCCTTTGTGAACAAAGTTGCTGAGATCAGCTCATCGGCGCACCCGGCAGTCTCTCCCTGGTAGGTCACCGCAGAACTGGGAAAAGGCCTCTAAGTTTATAGCATAGGGTAATACTGTCAGTTTTGCTGCCTACAGGCTCAATTCTAGATGAATACTGATAATAAAAAATGTCACACATAAATACGACACCATGAATCTATGGATCCAAGGAAATGAGTCCTTCACAGAGACCTGACTGTGGAGAGTATGATGGATGAGGCCTCAAACTTTCTTTATTTGTCTCTGAGGCTAAGAAGTCTTGAGGGAGGAAAGTTTCTCAGGCAGCAGAGCTGGAGACAAAGCGAATCCTCTGGGAGTAAACAAGGTCAACAAAATACAGGATCACGTTGACGTTGGTGAACACCGCCACCACCAGCTTACTATCCCAGGGACATTCTCCACGTGGGCAGTCCTCAGGACGAGTAGTGGTGCCGTACTTCCTGTCAAAGCTGAATATGGGCCAGATCAGTGCAGTACTGAGGTAGAGGATCAGGGCGAAGAAGGTGTAGACAACCACGAACCGATCAAAGGGGAACCGCAGGGCAGAGGTCCTCCCAGAAACTGTCAGTATGATCACTATAACGGTGACGGAGAAGCACAGGCTGTACACCACTACACAGTACTGGGTGGCGATGTAGAGGTTGTACTCGCTGTCGTGGGCCAGGGCCCCGAAAATGATGCAGGCCGCAAAAGCCTGGACCACCTTGAGTAGACCGGACACAGTGGCCATGTAACCCACCACAGCTCCTGGCTTGGCACGAGTCAGAATCACCTCAGCACCGTAGGGGAAGCAGCAGACGCTGGAGCAGACAGTGACAACAATGCGGTAGATTTGGACTTCACAGCTCTCATCAGGGCACTCTGTTTGGAGGAAGTAAACAGGGTAGACCACGGAGGCGGTGATGTACATGAGCGTTGCCAGCATGGCAAACGCCACAGTGAAGTTATCCCAGGAAATGGGCATGCATGCGTGGAGGCGTGTGATGTCCAAGGTGAACACAACCAGTGTGACGGCGAAGCAGAAGCACCACACAAACATGCAAAAGGTCCCATAGTCTGCGCTGTAGCCCGCACTGTGGGATACAAGGGCAATTATGGTGCAACCGAGTAGCAGCTGGCAAATTCGGGCTGCACCCAAAGGTGACAGCACAGCTTTTTTGTTGAGGTAGTGTCCGCCATGAGGATCCATGGTGTGTGTTGTCTCCCAGTAGCAGCTGTTTTTCTTGGTTTCTTGATGTCCTGTTCTCTGTCTTGGTGTCCTTGAGGCCCACTTTTTTTTGTCACAGACCTCACCCTTTCCTTTGGTTGCCTTTTATAGATGGTCCTTAATTACAAATGTCTGTAATTCTTCCCTGAGCTTGCTTTGTAATTACCGTGGTGGGCCTTAGATCCAGTCACATTTATACGCTGTTATGTAGACGTCTGTACAGTAGCTTGTAGTCGTAAAGGATGGGCCTTGAATGAGATATCTTTTTGATTTTTGTTGTTTTAAAGTAATGTCTCTACTTGGCTGCAGAGGTCTATGAAGTAAGCATACAGATCATAATTTCTGTAAATCATAAAACACTGGTTTCAGTCTTTCATAGTGTTTTAAAATGTTCTAGAGATTAGGAATTTGATCCTGGTCTTACTCAAAGCCGTAGTGTATGTCCTCGGAAATCTTAGGTTTCGCCCGCGTGCTCTCTTCAGTCACCAAGTTGTCCAGTGTATCGAAAGTTCAAAGTGAAGTAAGGTCCTCTATAAGCCGTATCCAGAGATCAATCTTCCAACAATAGCCCCAAGTGCCGAGCAGGTGGACTAGTTTGTTGTCCTGTCAGTCAAGTTCCATTACTCAGTGACTCAGTCCTTGTAATCTCTCCACTGTAGGCCCTTACAGCCCGTCAGAATCACTCAAACTGTTGGCTCTCTTTGTCTAGCTGTTTCTACCTCCTTTTGCCTTTTGGATTTGGTCTCCCACTCTTTCTCGCTCACACAAACACACACACCCTCTCCCTCCAGTGTGCACTCGGCAGATTGCAAGGGGCGGTTGTTTAAATGAAAGTTTGCACCGAGCCCAGGGTTACAGGCCTCGCCAGCTCTAAAAATAGGGGTTCTATATTCCACAGAGGGGTGGGAGGCTGCATGTGGCAGTCAGGATGGGAGTCGTATTTCTAGGGAGCACCCAGAGAGGCTGAGTCAGAGCACCCTTGGTATGAAACTGGCATTTATATGCCGTGTAATGACAGGGAGGGAGGCTAAGACTCCCATTAGAGGCAGAAATTACATACAGGTCCAGAGAGATGATTATGCACAAGTGATGGCAGATTTGAGCGATGCTTGTAAGAGGGAAGTGGGAATAATTAGTAGTTGCTTAAAATACTTTAACCTGTGATATTAGTATGCTGTGATTTTTGAGTTACAGTGAGCAAGGTGAACATATTCATTTTTTACAGCCTGTGAAGTGTGGTATATTTCAGCAAAATTATTTTCCACTGATTTGCCGGAGGTGAGTATGGTGGGATTCAGACTGAATGAGGAGAGGTAACGGTTTAAATGATGAAACTGATGAGGATATGGACTCTGCATTTTAATGGGATTGGATAACAAAAAAGACTTTCCTGTGTGTCCTGTTTTATGTGGCCTGCCCCAAACTGCAAAATCCACCAATACGCCCCCTGTGGGCAGTGCTTTTGCCTCTTCCTATCATTTTAAGGGCCTATGGGAAAAGAAATTCATGCGTAACCCACTCCATCGCTTTATGGCAAACATACGCTGATGATATTGTCATCTTATTAAGAGGTTGGAGGGCTGACCGATTTTTAAAATATACATTCTAATACTATCTTTCTTTCACTAGAAAACCATGAAACCTTGATTTGCTTCATAGACTTAACTCTATATAAGGGAAGCAACAAGACTACAATTTATCGCAAACCCTTAAGCAGAAATTAACTTCTAAATAGGGCCTCTAAATTGACCCAAATAACCAAGTACCAAAAAGTATCAAAACTTCTCCAGTAAAGTGACACCTTCAATCATATTTGTACCCAGATCTAGAAAAAAAAGACTCTGTAAGGTTGTGTCCGTTGCCAGTCACCGCAAGTGTTCGTCTATTTAAAGGGGAACGCCACCTAAATTAAGAATTCCAACATGTTATTTCTATGGCCTAGGAAAGTTCAGTCAATATTTGTGAACATGAGCTACTCTCTCTCGAAGCCAGAAACCACAGAAGTGATGTAATCAAGTATAAAGTCTGGAGCTGCTCCACAGACAATGAATGGGAGCCTGATTTTATGAACCCACAACTTTCATGTTTTTTTTTTTTATACCCAAATTAGTTTTATTCTATTCTAGTGAGCTCAGTCCTGAAACCGAAAATGTGCTCATGCTATAACATTCCCCTCTGTGCTCGAAGCGTCATGTTTAGTATACTTTCATCATACACTGGGTGCGGTTACATGATGGCTTCTCATTCGGAATGAAATAAATCTGAATGAAATCATTCAGATTTAAGTTGTTTCCAGGTAGTTTACATGGGAAATATTCATTCCGAATGAGGGTTTACACGGGAGATCAGTTTAATCGCCTTTATTCGGGTCCGCGCAAGGTTCAGGGCAGGGAAGGTTTCTCATCGGATAGGGGGCGGGGCGGATGTTGCATGTTTACGCTTACCGGAAGAAAACACTGTAGTCCTCGCTCCGGATAACAAGATGCTTGACGACGCCGTTCTTAGTGCCTTTTTCAGGCTTGTCTTGCTTATATTCTTGAAGCAGCAGTACGACAACAACCTTGTTCTGCTAATGCTTCGTCTATTGAGGAGGAGAAGGGAGGTAGAAGGTCAAAGAAGGGAGATAGAAGACCGTGCTTTGGCGTATGGAAACCGGTGAGTGCAACGAGTCCGACTGCTCTATCTCAGCCCGTTGCTATGCGCGCTATATACGTCATCGCGCCAGAAGGGCAAGGAAACGAGCATGTGTAGAAAGACCGGAATGAACTTAAAGAGGAATGAGTGTATACATGCACACAAAATTCTTTCATTCAGAATGACAAACGGAATAAACCACCCCCTTTAATCGGATTTAATTTTCAATCAGAATGACCGTTTACATGACCACTTTTAATCGGAATGGCCTTTCATTCCGAATGAAAGTGGAATTAAACTGTCCATGTAAACGCACTCACTGTCTGTGGAACAGCTCCAGACTTTATACTCTATGACATCGCAAATGTAAGGTTTAGCACTCTAATTTTTGGATTCAGGAGAGAGTTGTTCATTTTTACTAATATTTCTGGACTGTTTTTGACCATAGAGATAAAATGTATGAATCTTTAAAGTGGGTGAAGTTCCCCTTCAGTGTGACATTTGATAAGGCCACTATCGCAGCAGCTTCAGCCCAGGTTGGTGTCAAGTATTAAGTATAAAAAAAGGTATCAAATGGAGTACTCTCTTGATATCGGTATCACTTTAACAGTACTGTTGGTACTGGTACCATAATGCTTTTAAATGATTCCCAGCCCTGCATCTAAAAGCTAAGAGTAATCACCCAAATCAGCCCATCTGTCATTAAAGTCCTGGGGAATAAAAAATAATTTCACCGTCGCCTAGCAGTGGTGACATTATCAACTCACTGCTCTGCAGAGGAGGCCTCAATGAAGAACTGAATTGTCATGATTTAATTTATTACACTTCCATCTTTGTTACTTTAAGATAAATCTGTGTTCTTTTGTTTCTGACGTGACTATAGAAGTGTAGCACTTGGACATTGGCTATGGACTAAGGCTAAGACCGCAAGTCAGTCAGTGAGCTGCTCCAGTCCCCCCTTTTTTCCCTCACAAATTTACTTTACAGCATCATGTTTGGCACATTAAAGTCACCCTAACTATGAATGTGGCAGACGTAGATCTGCAAACAAAATCAGACGTAAGTGTGAGTGTGGGAGGATGGCTGTAGCTCAGCAAACAGCACAGGTGGTGCTCTCATCGAAGGGGTTAATAGCTTGATCTCTGGCTCCTCCTGACCACATGTCGAAATGTCCTTGAGCAGGAAACTGAACCCCAATTGCTCATGAGGGTTAGGCCGGTGCCTTCGACGTGTGAGTGTATGTGTGAATAGGCGATTGAATGTCAAATTTGAAAGCAATGTCAAAACAGACCAGCCGTAGCCAGTATAAGACCTTTTATGTTAGAACATGTAGTGTAGCCTGGTTATTTTAAGTCTGAGTTTATCAGCTCATCAGGTCATTTTTTATTACTTATGTGCCATTTTCAATAAAATAAATACGCCACATTTCTCACTTTCGCTTCACCTACTCTGAAATATTTTCCTGTTTTTGTAAATTGACCACATTTCTTGAGATTTCACGAAGGCTCTTCAAAAATAAGGGCTTGAAAACCCTTTGAATTTCAGTGTGTGTACACTGACCCTCATATCTATTATCAGATATGTCAGAATGGTGACAAACTGTTGAGAGCCCGAGGGAGCTGTTGACCTTTCCTCCTGCGAAAGGTTTTTGTGCCGTGAATGTAAAATGGGAATGAGAATTGTGCAAATACCACTGATACCTTTTCTATCACTGCCATTAATAACAATAATAACAACAAGACTGCGCAGCAATATTCACCTTGTAGTATATGTAATGTGTCTTTTCTTTCAGGTCTGATACAAAGACATGCAATCAACACAAAGAGAAAAAACAGCAATGTATTTACAATTTACAAAGAATCACTTCTCTGTGAAAATAGCACTTATAAATATGATTTACATAACAAAATAAATATGTAAATTACCAATGTAGCTTGAGTTTTTTTTTTCTTCTGTTAAAAAATATGTTACAGAATAAAATTACAATTAGTAATACCTTTTCCTTCTCAGGTGTGATGTGAAATAGAGGTCCTTTAAAAACATCATTTATAAAGACATCATTACATACAACATTGTCATTATATTAAAAAGTGATCTCTATTATGAAATATAAGAAGGGAGTTACAATAGTGAACACTTGAAAGAACCTATACAAATACTCAAAAAAATATACAATACACGATATTTGTCTCCCTTTAAATGTTCATTGCATTGATCCGAGGATTGCTGAACTACTGACCTAGCATGAGTGTGTGCCCGATGTTTCGGGTTTGAACAGTCCTCTTGTGATGATGCGGCCCGTGAAAAAGAGGTATAGACTAGATGTAATGGCACTGTGGTGTGTGTATAGCTACTCAAAGACCATTAAAGTATTTTTTCGGTCCGCTTTAGCACCACAATCAGCTTGAGGAAACGACTAAACCAGCCATCGTGGCATCTTTACAGCTATCTAAACTGAAAATACGCCACTTAGATGTCAACACTGTCAGGTATGGGTTACTGTAATCTTTTCTCTTAACCCATGATAATCACTACAATATCCGTTTTCTGNCTGAAAATACGCCACTTAGATGTCAACACTGTCAGGTATGGGTTACTGTAATCTTTTCTCTTAACCCATGATAATCACTACAATATCCGTTTTCTGAGCATTGTCTGTCTTTTGTCATTTTCACTATTTTTTTTTTTTTGGCTACTTTTATTAGCAAGGAATATTGTCCATTTGTGGCTTTATTTCCAGTCGCCTAACTAAGGCTCTGTTTACACCTGGTATTAACATGTGTCTTTGTAGATTGGATCGCAAGTGGACAGCTCTAAAAACAGTTTTGAATGCTCCCATCGCGTCCTTAGACCACATTCGGAGGGGGTCTGGTCTGCATATGGCCATGTGCTTTCAGCAGTATACACAAATGTGTCCCGGGCCACATTACGGACCGCCTACTCAGCTCTCGTCCTGGCTTATCTGACTCCCCTCCAGATATTACCTGTCGGTTGCTGCTCCCCTGGAGCCACTGTCCTTCTGACGAGTGGTCAGTTCAATGTCTACCTGTTTAGCACAGGAAATGACCAAACCAGGCATCGTGGCCTCTTTACAGCTATCTAATCTGAAAATACGGCATTTAGGTTACTATAATCTTTTCTCTAAACCCATGATAATCAATCATCAATAATCAATAATATCCTTTTTCTTAGCAGTTTGTCTTTTGTCATTTTCACTATATCTTTTTGGCAACTTTTATTGGCCTAACTAAGGCCCTGTTTACACCTGGTATTAACATGCGTCTTGGTAGATCAGATCTCATGTGGAAAGCTCTAAGTACAATTTTGAATATGCCACCTGCGTCCACAGACTACATTCAGAGGTGGTCTGGACATACTGTATGATTTTAGCAGTGTACGCCAATGTGTCCTGAGCCACATTTAGGACCACCTACTCAACTCTCGTCCTTGCTTATCTGACTCCCCTCTGGAGCCACTGTCCTTCTGACGAGTGGTCAGTTCAACATCTGCCTGGTTAGCACAAGCTAACACAGCTGTTAAACGCTCCCATTCAATTTAAAGTGACATTGGAAACAGATCAACTCTGCTGTTAAACCCTTATTTTTCCCAATTTCTCACCAGCTGTCCCCGGCACAGAGCTCACACTCCTGCAGCAGTTGTCTCTGAGAGGCAGGGGGACTGTGGGATGCACTTGTCTCATGTCTCAAGTGAGAAGGGGCAAAGCAAATCAATATACTGCACTCATCTCTACAATGAAATATGATTTTACTAATTTTAAATAAGCTGTGAGTGTGCCTATAGCAACATAGTCCTCCAACTGGTTAAAAACATTCTGTCTTTGCAAATGGAAATGATATATGTGTTCATTTGCATAAAGAGCAAGAAAGACAGATCCAATCCCAAGTGGTCACTTGAGACGCAAGTGGAGACGCATTCTAATACCAGGTGTGAACAGACAAACTGTCCACTTGTCATCAGATCACCCAAGATGCATGTTAAATCCAACCTGGTCTTATACCACAAGCTAATGAGAGGTGTTTTGGTGTCAGTTGTCTCGCTATCGTTATTGCTATTGTTTTTGAGATAAATACAAAATTTCCTGTCTGATCCAGTGCCTTTCTCACCCTATGACGTATGTCCCTGTTTCTGCCTTGATGTAGGTTTATATATGATGAGAAACTGTAAAACATTATACCCTTATATACTCTATAGTGACTACTTAACAAAGACAGCATTCTTACGTCATTGTGGCATTTTCTTTCTTTTCTTAACAATGACTGAATATAATCTATATGGAAGACACATATAGATACATCTATATGGACACATCAATGAGCATCCTTAAAACTGGATTACATTCGTGATATTTTTTTTCTTTTACAAAGCAAAAGATAATTTAAATGGAGAGTAGCAGAGAGTTGTGCCTTGTCGTGGCGGCATGTTGCCCCCTTGTACTTGTCACCAGTTGCGAGGGAAGGGATTGTGGGAGAAATCTAAGCCCCTGTGTTTGACTGAGGCTCAGACTAAAGTAAACAGGAGGTCAAAGGGGAATCGACTATAGGTAGAATGGGTTGTGAAGGTGGAGTTGGAGGTATCAGGCATAGGAGACTGGCCGGAGAGACCAGCCAACCCTGCTCGGGCTTAGCTTGTTGATACTGTGTGTACGCGTGTCCTTTTTAGCTGCCACTGCTGAGCATGCCCAGTAGCTTGCTGGGGTCCATGCCCTGCTGCTGGGCCATCTTCTGCACGTCAAAGCCCATGTGCATGAGGAACTGAATGACGTTCATCTCTTGTCCCGTGAACTGGTCTCGGATGGTGGGACAGGTGGGGTTGCAGTGTGGCCATGGGCAGCTGTCAATCAAATGTACGGGGCAGCCTTTGGGCGGGGCCTTGTTGTTCCTGTTGTCGTTGAGGCTGCGGTCCCAGCAGTGCAGAGCTCGGGGCAAGGAGGTGCCTTTAACCTGCACGTCAATCCAGTAACTGGAATACAACACAAGAGGGCGCTGTCAGCTCACAGGAAGAAAGTATGACACACAAAGCTGAGCGTCCCCTGGTATTAACACACTGGAAAATGGAGTTGAAATTAAATCATACTCACTTTCTGGTGATAACTTCATGTGATAGACACGCTGGAGCAAACATAGCCCTGGAAATAGAAAAAAAATCCAAATGCATAAATCTGAAACCACGCTTTAATCAATTCTCTTCCTAAAATGCAGAAACACGGCCTTACGGGACGTCTTTGAGTGTGTTCCTCAGCTCAATGCCCAGGTTTTGGATGTAGCGCCACTGGCCTTCTTGCACAGGCTGGCCTGTTAGCTGGATGTTGTCCACTGTTAACTGGGCCTCGTCAAACAGCCACTGGACAACAAACACAGGGCCTGCACAGGGAGAATGGAAGAAGATTAATATGTGGCACACAGACGTTTTAGGCTTGCACTGATATGTTGATGAAGCCCACTAACATTAGCATGTACAGAGTGAATCCCCAAACTCACTTTTTATTGATGGGAAGACTCTATATCCAAAGAAACAGTTCCACTCCTCTCCTTCATGGGTCTTCTTGCACCTCTCTGGTACCACACCTCCCCAGTACCTGATGGGGCAGGTGAAAAGGACAGATGTTAGGTTAGCCGCCACCATGCTAAAATAAGTCTATCTCACAAAACATCTCGTCTATTTAATGATCATAATCCCTGGCTCCCATACTTGATGCCTCTCTTGATGGTCTCCGTGGGGGCACAGCTGACAGCGTCCACACAATCCGTGCAGTGGTACTGCTTATTGTCCAGGAACCAGCCAGAATCGGATAGGCCTCGCACTTGTATCCCAGTGTGCCCCAGTCCCTCCAGCAGCTCTGCCACATTGTCCACGTTCAGAAGGACCCCAGTACCACCCGCACTGCATGCATAAATAGAAAATATTCTCATTAAGACATATATGGGAATATTAATAAAATGCAGAATATCTTAAATAAATAAGTCACAAGCAAAATTGTCTACCTGCTTCCTGCTAATAGCAGAACTTTTGCGTTGTCCAGACCTTTGTTCAGCAGGTCCTTCACAACCTCCTGAATAATCAGCGAGCCCATAAAGGCATAGCCACCTAAACATAACACAAAGAGAGCAGCACTGTAGAATGATACATTGCTTACAGAAGATCACACGTGACTGTTTGTTTTGATAATTCAGTGATGTCTTACTTTGCTCTGTTTTGGCTGTAGCTCCGCTCCACACATCACTGGAGCAGTACGGGACGAACCTGCACAACCATCATGAAATTTAAATTTGCAGTCGTGATTAAAAATTGAGCTCCAATAAACACACAAACATGAGTCAACTTACACCATGTTGGCGTTCCACCAGTGAGGGTTCTCCTCAGGCAGCGGAGACAGGATCCCCGTGCCTGCAGAGACAGATCGACATGTATCATTAGCCATCCTGGCACTCCCAGACACATCCTCTTCTTCCTCATCATCATTACCACATGGATTACAGTTATTACACTGCAATGAGAGAGGGAGGCGTCTCGGTTCCTACAAAAGCGGGCGCCAGGTAGCCGCGCAACGCGGCTACATTATGACGGGGTGACAGATACATCCGATCCTTTTAATTACTGAGACATTACAGTGGGATCTGGCTACTTTTTTCACCATGTTAGGGGGTCAGGCTGTGCTACGGGCCACAGGTGGAGTAACAGTGGTGCTTATGGGAGCATAGTGAGCTATACAGACCAGCTGACCTGTTTTAGTTTGGGGCCACTTGGATGAGCTCATCAATCTCCTCATGGTCTCGTATCGGCTGTCGCAGTTCTCCTTGTTGAAGCAGTACCAGCCGCCTGGACACAGATACACACAGAAAACAAAACATGGAGAATTTATCACATAAATTGTCTACAATTATGAAAGAAGAAACATAATGAAATTACTCAAATGAATACTGACCCTCTAAGAATATCAACCACCTTCTGCTGCCTCGAGATTCTTTCAGGTAGTACCTGCAAGAGACCGAAGAATATCAAATCAGCACATCATAGCAGACACATCCGTAATGCTTGAATCTATGGGAATATGGTTTATTCAACACCGCCTGCATAACAATGTATCCAAACAACACACATTCCACAATTGTGATATGGTGCACTTTCTTCAGAAAGACGAGATAAACACTGAAAAATAATACCCTCACTGTTTCTACCACCAGTGACGGAATCCAGGCATGAAATATAAACACATACAACATCGTTGCTTTAAACTAAACAAGGACGTCTCTTCACTTTGTTGATTTCTATCTCTTAAAAGGTGACAGACAATGGCAGAAATAAAATCACGCTGACATAAATTCAGTGAGCGTACAGGAGAGAACAATGAGGTTGTGTGTACAGTCTGCACTTGGGAAACTGATATAGTGATTAAACAGGAGATAAACATCATCTTGTCCCCTATCCTGTTCGTACTGCCGATGCCAGTAGATGGTGTTCGTCATGCTTAATGCAGCAAGAGTAGGTCATGTACCATCATCGTCTCACTCTGAGGTCATCATCATCAGCTCACAACATACATGACATGGATAAAATCAAGGCTCTTGCCCATAGAAATGATATGATACGAGATACCACATTTGGCTGGCAACACACAGTTTGCCTTTTTCACCCCATGTATGTCCAAGATAATGCTCCTTAAATGCACCCGTGGTACGATAAAGGGATTTATCTGTACGTGCTCAGCTACAACTTTAAAAAGAAGCTCAGCTAGAGATGTGTGTGTGTTGTCAGCCCAGAAGAGGGCAATGCTATCAAGATTCACCCATGCTACTGGATGCACTCATGTCAGACGCATCATCAACAGGATTTTTATTTAATACTGATGCCAGAGAAAAATAAAAGAACTTTCTGGTGTGTTAAGTAGCTTTAGCCACAAAATCAAGATGCTACAAATGTGCTTCTGTGATGCTGAGAGCTTTTTTTTTTTTAATATTCAATCAGTATCCACCCGACTTTACCAATGACTAAACTCAAGGGATTGCCAAAAACACTTCAGTGACTTTAAAGAAAACAGACTTGGCTGAGGCTCTGAGCTGTTTGCTCAGACTGTGAATCACACTTTGGCTGCAGCTAATGTCTTGTACTATTATTGCGAGCCACAGTCAATGATGTAGGCTGAGGACGGTGCACTCTACTTACTACTTCCAAACAACAAAGTGAAGGCGGGCTTGGCAAGCTGAGCAAGCCAAGAGGGGAAAAAGGCGCTGCATCAACCCACTCACTCTAACAAGTGCAACTCCAGAAGATGAATCACGCGGTTCCACCTTCCCCGTCTAGTGAATGATTTTACTCATTGCATCTAACTGTGACTGTAACCGTCTTCTCTGGAAAATACTGTTTGTAGCTTATGGATTAGCATCTCAACTGACAACAGCCACAGCAGTAAATGAGACGGCCATCTGCCAGTAACTGTCCCCTGCGTCTCTAAAGAGCTTTACCGCACTAACAGACAGCTCTCTCCACCGGGCACTTTGGGGTTTTACAGGAATTAGACGGGATAGTAAATCCATAAAGAGACATGTATAGAAAAAGCCATTTCAGACATGTCTGGTCATCACTGAACTGGTCCCACATAAGTTCTTATTCACAAACATCAAAGCCTCTTGTTAAGGAACAGGCAACATCAACACTAAAGCATTTATATAATTCTGCTTTTCAATAATTTTCCTATATTACCAGTAAATTATGGGGTCATGCAAGTTAAATGTTGTTCTTTGGTTGTGTTTGTGATACAAAATATCGTGTTGACAGTTTGAGACACAGTCAGATCCACTGTCCTTTATTTGCCATGGCTTTGAAAGAAAAAATTACATATTGTACAAGCGCTTTTTATTTGATCCATGCACACCTGCTAGAAGTCAGTTTAACCTACAGTACTCAGTTTCACTCCCTGCAACCAAATGGAACATAAAAGAGAGTCTATATGACTGAGTATTGTGTATTATAAAATATAAGAGGCAGTGGATCTGTCTGATATTAATATGCTTTTAGTGCCATGGCTTATCCCGCTTTAGTAGAGAAATCATGCAGGCTTTCTTACTGCCAAATGGATTTCTGCTTAACAACAGTGTCAACATTAGATATCAATGCAAATAAATGTAGTGATGCATTGTTTATGAAAAATGATTTTACTGTAGCAAGTTATAAAAAGCAATGTGCAGAAATGTGTACACGTTTTATAGTGAGGAAAACACACTGTCAAAGGGCTGTAGAATGATAATTCAGCAGTGTGCGCACTGGGCGCAATCATCAGAGAGAGACAGGCACAGAGAGATGGGCGGGGGTCTGAAAACTTAAATCTAAACTTTCTGCAGAACAAATCCTGCATTCTAATTTGAAGCAAAGGAAATGAAGCATAGGCCATGTGGCTATCCGCAAATTTCACGCTTCGCTGACGCAAAGCAGCTGTTTATCTCATCCCGTCATTCTGTCCTAGGACATTGCTCTCTTGAAAATCCCCACATTTTTTCTTCTTTTTCATTTATGTATATATTTCTGTTTCTTGTTCAGCATTTTTAGGGATCTAAAACCAATTTGGAACCAGCCAAAATAAGGAGAAGTTGTCTTTTGCGCGCACGCTCCACTGAGAGGAGCCTTGCTGTCCCCAGGCCAGATACATGTGGGTTACTTCGGGTAGCAGGATGACCAGCAGGACGGGGTGCGCCCTGCTCAAGCAAAATAACAATTCCTGCTATAGCTCCAGGCTGCACAGCTGACCCTGCCCTGACCTGCTTGTGATTCAATCACGATTTATAACACTCTACATGTGTATTGTCACTTGGAACATACCCCGCGGGACTCCCATCATTGCAGGTGACTGATGTATTCTCCAAAAAGTTCAGCTTCATGTCGTAGTCGAGCTTCTGCGCCGAGCACGGGTAGAGGGACTGCGCAAGGTTCTTCACTTGTGTCATGAAGTTATCCATGTTCTCCTCCACGGCGGTGAAATCCAGAGGGAAGCTCTCCGTGGTGTCTCCCCGATCCGCCCGGTATGTGGGAGGAGGTGGTGAGCGGCGTGGCTGTGGGTTGCGGCCACCCCGGAACCTCCGTGCGCAAAGAGCTCCGGACTGCATCAGCACCAGCACCAGCACTGATGAAACCATTCTGATCGCTGTCATCTTATTCCGGTGTTAGATTGTCCGTTCTCCAAATGCAATACCTCGTCAGGGAAGCGCAAACTTTCACTGATGGAGCTGAGGAAGAAACGACAATTACGCACGGTTTAAAAGACGCCACAACTCTTATCATCCGCTCCCAGAAACGCTTACATTTAAGGTTAACTAAATTAAAAGTCCCTTTAGATCAATCACAGTCATACGCCGAGTTCTCTGGATATATTTTAAACTTTCGGAGTGCGCCTACAAGTGTTTGCCCATGTACCTTCACAACTCAAACGCTGCTGGACCAAGCGCACAAGCTTGAACGACAACACTCGTGCCATGCTCTTGTATTTTATTCAAACTTTCCCCCCTTGTGTGTCCGTCCAGCCAATCGCAGGAGCGGGGCAGGACTCAGGGCATGATCAAGCGTGGCAGACTAGCCTACCCCCCTTTTTAATTTATAGAGGGAAAAAAATGTCCATGCGTTGGTTCTTTTGATCCGCGATGTCTTATTTGATGTGGTGGCTTTTATTGGCCTTGAAATGCCCATTTCCCATTCCACCACAAATTTATGAAGTGAGAATACGCATCTTGTTACACACTTGCCTGAAAATCAAGTGGGGAAAAAAACAGAACACAATCAAAACTGGTGCAAAGAGTTCCAGCAATATTTGGCCAGGAAAATACAAATCAATCTCACCAGATTTTACCTGCTTAAACAAGGGAAACAAATTATTTTCATTTATATAATTCCACTTATTTTTTAAGGCAAATTAAAGCATGGCATTATTCAGAAACCTCCACCCCACAAAAAAAAACTTACTTTAAGAAGCACTTTCAGTTCTGAGTAGTTGAGTTGCTCTTGTTTTCTTAAGGTTTAGAAAAAGGGACTTGGACACTTGTTTTTTTTTTTTTTTTTTTAATCCAGACAGGGCCTCCAAAGATCAAAGCAACCATCACTCTTTCTCCCCCCCTCCTCCCTCCCACTTCAGTCTCTTCCAAACTTTCCTGGTCTACTGTATATTTTAAGTCGAGCAGAGCATCCTGATGGGAAGCCAGCTTTTTAACACAGGAATGCCTCGTTACGGTTGAGGTAGGCCTCCCTCGAACAACCTCTCATTTTAAGGACACATTTAAGTTAAAGTGTAGCCCGCAGCGATTACATAAGAATAACAGTGATTACTCATCAAGGTGACACTTCATGGTGGCTTTTGTCTGTGATTGAGCTCCTTCCTCCCATGTGAAACAGTTGTAATTCAGTTTAGTTTTAAGACACTGGGCACAGATAGTCTACCTGTACATATATAAAACCAACAAAGTTTTTACTCTACAGCAGCTTAAGGGAGTTACTCTCAACTTGTTGTCATGTCCATACAACTGTGGCTGATCAAAACACAGACTCAGGTAGCGTATTGACAGTGTATTTCAGCTTTGGCAGTAAGATTGGAGAGAGCTTAGGGGTCGTAAATTGAGACACCGAGAGTCTTTCTTCAGATCATCAGATGTAGTTTTTGTGAAAATGACACCGTCATTGTGGTCGAAGGTCGACATCAAAGAACTAGCAGCGATGAAGGCCAACTGTCGTGTTGCCTCACGTTGCCTGTGTCAATGCCAAAAAGTTGCACTTGAACACACCGCAAAGAACACAGCCAATGGCCAACCACAGCATTTTGTCCTGGGCCTGTGTGAGAGGAAACACCTCCATACCAGCAGGTGGCAGTAGTCTGTGTTTGTCATTAAAAAAGGGGAATGGAAGACTGACAAGATTTATTCAAGATGCTAGTTAGCCAATTAGCACTTTAACAACACAACCCATTGTTGAAAGAACAAATGATATTGCTGTGACTCAGTGGCTAGAAAAAATAATCTTGCCCAATATAACAAGCTTGTTTCGCTCTTTCGCAACTCGTTTCTCTTTTCGTACACAGAGCTGAACTGCCAGTCAGAGCAATTGCACCCACCGACAGGCTCCGTCATCTCCAACGCAGGTTTACCATGCTGAATCGATTTTAAAAAACCCGAAAGAAAAGCCAACAAGGGCCGCCAAGGGCCAATGGTGCGGGACAGACAGCAAAAACTATGGCGACAGATGCTCAGCAATGGCCCAACATTGAACAGCCGTCCGTCAGTTTGGTGTGTCAGGACTCTTACTCTTTGTCTGTAAAAATATTTCAAAAGATGGATTTGGAGATTTTAGAAGATGCCCGCGTTCGTCTCGAGCACAACATAACACCTAAATCTGCCTCATATCCTCTCAGGAAAAGAACCTCTCGCCCGATGCTTCATCAGTGTGCCTAAAGGGTGTCAGAGCCATTCTGAGCCAGGTAAGATGGATATGAAGTCACCAACAGGACTGATGGTATTCATTGGGAACTTCAAACAGATGCTTGTATAGATTAAAACATGTGGTAGGGCCCAGGAGGAGAGGCTCTGTCACAGATTGAGTCTAGTCACTTTGACCCATACCTCCCTGTTTTATCACACGTCATCCCCAAAAATGTAACCCTTAAATCACTCGCAGATGGACGCTGGCCTCTGACACACACGCTACCATGAAGAGATGCCTCGGCCGGCGGTGTGTCGAAACGTCCTCTGACCCAAGAGAGTGAGCCACAGATGCTCGCGCTTAGAGTGATCTTACTGTGTAGATTCCGTCTTAAATTTAGCCGATGGTACGAGGCAGAATCACTGGTTAAGTTTGCTACTGTTGGTGCACAGTGGTTTGTTCTCTACTGTGTGCACCTTGTTTGAACTCCAAGTGCTAAGCCTTTCTGGCTTTCGCTGGAAATTCTCTCTCCCTTTTTCTTTGCCTCCCATCGTGTGTGTGGAGCAGAAACACAAATTTAACCATGCAAGTCCGAATGGATTAATCCTAGAATTAGGTCATTTGAAAATGACCCAGCTGTTCTGATGGCAGTCCCTCAGAAGTGCCCCCGTAGCCCCCACCCCGACTCCAGGCCTCCTGTGAAAGTCAAAGCCTGTCTTTCATCTCCGATCAGTTGCATGTGCCCTCACAGATCCACAGGTTTTACTGCTTAAGTCTGGGCTGGCAGCATTGATCATGTGACCGTTGCCTGCCTGGCGTTTAGACACATCATAGCTCTGTGAGCGCTCTCTCTGTCTGCGCAGCCTGCCAGTTCTGCTCACACATCCCCATCGTCCGTCTCCCCATGCCTGTTAGTTGTGATTTGCACATGCTGTTGTCGAGGGTCCATCCGTGATCATCAAATCCTGCTAGTTGGAACTGTTAGGTCAGGTTACATCAAAGAGATCAGGAGGGATCAGCCTCTTGAAAGCGACAGGCTCTGGCTCACATCATCAGAAACAGGTGGAGGTCCTCATTGGAAGAACAAAGGAGAGATCACCATCTATAAAACTTTTATATTTCATAGAAGAGTTTCTTTAAATTCCCTTAAATTGCCACCCTCTCCTATACAGAGCGCTAGCTCCAGTCAGCACCAGCATAAAACATATGATATCAGGTTAAGGATTGTGGGACTCAACCGCAGCACTAAATCCCATGAAGGTCACAACAGCAAAGCCTGAGACTTAGTGGTATTATGCCACAAAGTGTTTAAGTGTGGAAATCTGCTAAAAGCCGGGACAAAAAGGGAACTGGAAATGTATGGAATACGACTCAGGTGTTGTGAATTAGTTGGAAAGTTGTTGAAACCTTCAGAGGTTTTTGTGTATATTGTAGTAATTTCTCCTGCGGCTAACATTCCTCTGCTGGTTTCTCAAGAAAACACACCAGACTTTGACATTTTGTTTATTGCTTGTCATCTTAGGAGTAGAGTCACTGCACTGTGATCAAAAAAGAAAACAAAATATTGTGAAGATTATTCGTGCAAACATCCAGATTTTTCCCTGCATCATTTTAATGACAGCTTCATTAACGAGTTGATCTGACTGTAATGTTAGAGAGCTTTGACGTTTCAGGCTATCTACCCCTGTGCAAACACTTCAGCTTCTGTTCTGTGTCACCTTGAGGCAAACCTCCGGAAGCAGGTCCCCCTAATTTCATGTTGAAACTATTGTTTAAAACCCAAAACAAACATGTACAGAGGTTTTGGGTGTTAACACACAGTTGAGTTCCTTTCATGTGCGCCCACCACATGTTCCTGATATTACCCAGAGAATTGGTAAACAACCTTGATCCTGACTTAAGTCAAGAGGTGCCATCTAAGATGTGGATGTAAATGGGGAGTAAGAGAGAGTAAGAGAGGCAGGAGACATCTGTCGAGCAGGCTCTCATTTCGTAAGAGGAGGCCGTCTATTGGTTACAGATGATGCCCTGTTTGATAAAAATGAACTCTTTCAAGATAGGACAGCTTGCATTAGGGGTCTCTCTGGCACCGAAGGGCAATCAAATAGTTCAGCTGACAGGTCAGCTGTTTGTTGTTGATCTTTCATCTGAATGATGGTCACAAAATAGCTGCTGTTGCCTGTAAACAGTTATGTCACGTCATTCACACTAAGCAAGATGGATGTTTGTGTGTGTCAGGATGGGGGTACGTGCATGTTTGCCTGCGTGTGTGTATGAATGTGTTGTCATAAAGGAGGATGAGTGAGGTGGAAGTGGCCATCTTGGAGGTAACGGTGAGGAGGAGTTTTCCATTCATGCCTCGATCCTGAATCACCCCTTGCAATGCCCTCTGCCAGGTAGCGACAGAGGAGGGAGCAGAGACCAATTACCATTCGAAACCTGCTATTATTATCATCAGAGAGGCGGCAGACCTCCTTCCCCTGCGCTTATTCCCATCTCCAGTGAGACAGAAGGAGAATCAGGCCCTTTTGTCTCGGAAATGTTTATTTATGCCGCAGATTTGCCAAAGGACATGGAAAAGCCCTTATTACAGGTCATGACAGTAGAGCCACAACACATGATTCATTTTCTGTCCTTTAACCTGGTAGTCTCTATGGGGAAATTCTTTTGAAGTCCACACCCTGCTGTAAAACACGGTCATTATTCAATTATGTGAGAGCTGTATTTGAAACTGTAGGCCTTAAAGTATCTACGTCAGAAGAGTCAAGGATTACCTTTATTTTTTTAAAAGATTTCTGTTTTATGAAGTACACAGATCCAAAGAAGAAAGAGTTGCTGACATGCGGCGTAAATCTGATGTTTGGTCGGAACTCTTGGTGCCAGTTTGTCAGACAGGGATTAAGACTAGACCTAGACTAAAGGCAAGATTCACTGGAAATATCCGCTGAAAAGTGCCATAGTCTTGGACTAGGCTTAATCCCTGTCCGGGAACACGGCCCATAATGTTGTAAGTACACGGTATGCGCTTCCATCCACGGAGCCACTGG